TACAGTGTTTGTAGCTGCCACAGTTTCGTACATCGATGATTACTGAACTGTATATTTTAAAGTAAGTATGAAGACTATACAAGAAACGTGGTCATTTTTGGCATTCATTATTATCTTGGTACATTTCGTCCGCACAGTGCACCCAATACTGAGGCGGAAGAAATGGCACACCTCAGGTGTATTATTAATGACTTTTGTTGCGAGCTCTGAAATGCGGATCTTCAAATCACACCGTCTACGAAGATTTCCCCCACAGATGCAAAATTCTGACCGCGCTGACAGTGACTACGTACCCCAGTGCTCCATTTTTCCCAAGAAATATATTATCACGGACATTTTTCTCAAAAATGCTCGCATCATCGCCTCCCACAGCGATGTAATTGCTTGTATTCTGTTAAAGCAGAAACCAAAAATCCTGCCTACAAGAACGAACAAAAACATGACTATTGCGTCAAAATTATCACAAGCATTTATTCACCATAAACCAGCGAATAGTCTCACCTTACCCAAAAGCTATTGATCAGAAACCATAATGACGCAATTCATCGACCGCTTAATGACGGTTTCGCAATTTGGGGCCCGTGTGTTGGGCACCGACAATGAGTTCACGTCAACCGTATGTTCTGCCTAAAAACAAATTCAACACTAAATTAGCGGAGTACAATCATTTGCGAACACATCAGAGTTTGCAAGAGCCTCACCAGCATTGCAAAGCAGCTCTTCAAATCACACCATCTACGAAGATTTCCCGCAACAGATGTGAAATCCTGACCGCGCTAACATTGAACACGTACCCGGATCTTCTAGATTTTGTAAATAATATATGAACTCCTTTGGGTAATTCTTCGACAGCCGAAGACCGTTTTCGCCCTACTTGAGGATCATCCGTTAGGCGCAGTCCCTAAGCTTAGGACGACGTTTGATCTATCTGAAAACAGATGCCAATATTCAGCACCACCGCTCAACGCTGCACGTCAAATCGCGTTACCCGGAACGACACAGCTACGAGGCGACGGTTCTACTTCACCGAATATGTAATTATTTCCATATTTATCCTCAATATCAGCATTATTTGGCTGAGAATAGCTAAACGCGCAAGCCATATGTGCATCGTCATGTTAACCCCGGGCGAGGAGAATTTCAATAAGCTGAACCAGGGTGGCTGTTCTTTCGAACTGTTGTCGTAAATCCCGCCCAGATCACATCCGCCAGCGTAGATGAGCTCCGTGATCCTACTGGGTATCAGTAATGACCGACCACACTGCATTAATTCAAACGGGTAACCAGTTCCAAACGGACTGCATTGAGCACATCCACGGCCCAAGATGAACTCCATGATCCCATTGGCCACATTTGCACAGTCCCCATTAATTCCGTCATTTTCAGGATTAGTCATTCTATGTGATCATGTCTGCAGGCCGATATTAGTTGTTCCGCCCAGTGGTTCATAAATCCTTTTGGACAACGCTCAACCCTCGATTGGGCAACTGAGAAACAATTTACCTACTGGCATAGCACGAGAACACTGGTTACTCAGTATTTTAGTCGGAATTTATATAAGCATGTCGGCTATCTGACCCAAAAAGCACTAGAATGTGGGCTATTCCAATTGCATTCAAAATGTACCCATAGGAAGTACATTCTAAGAATCATGTCCTCATTTGTTGTGACAGAGCCCAACAATGTTTTTCGTTTTAAATCCTTTGATCAAATGGATTAAAATGATTGTTTACTGACATACCTGACTACGGCGCGTCATTGATTGTCCACTGATAAGTTAGTACAAAATTTGGCAACTTCAGTCACACTACTTACCATATTCAGGTAGCTCAGACTTGGAATGAAGTTCACACGACGAGTGATATGCTATGTTTTGAGACACTGATGGCGTCCTGAGGACTTGCAATAATAAGGATAATGGAATGAAATCAAAAGTGTTCACGTAAACCTACGTTTGCCAGTCTTGTCAACATATACGAAACTTTCCCTCATGCAATGTGGCACCAATGGCATGACGGAGGTTGCAGATCTGAACCTTGCACCAATAATGATGATGTGCGTCGATGATTTTCTCCTGAGTGGCTCCAAAAGGATGTGCAGCTTTATAATCAGGTATTTTTGTGAGGCGATATGGGTCGGACACCTGAAACTATATCTTGGTTCCCCGATCGAGGCGAACAACATAGTCCGATGTGTAAAACAAGGATATACCAGTTTGAGGACCGGTTGGGTGCGTTTTAGAAACGACAAAGTGAAGTGTCGACAAAAGCGTTTATCTTCTCTGTATTAGATGAAGCACAAAGTTCTGCGCGTCGAATGTCTGCAGTTATGTTCAAAACTGTATTAAACCACAGGAATCCTCCATCTAGTCCACCTATGATATATGCTTACTCTGGTTAAATAAATGTGCGTTAGATAATTATGAGTCTCGGGAAAGCCGACGCTCACTAATTGGCCATACGGCTGGATGTTATCAACCAGTTGGGCTTGGCGCACATTGTTAAGATGTGAGCATTGTCCAAAATAATTTATAAACTGTTAGTGAGGGCAATTAATATCGGGCTGCGAACATAGTCACTTCAAATGACTAATTCTGTTATGCTGCAAACAAACCGACGAGACAAATGGAGATAGTTCCAGCGTGGTCAGGAATCACTGGTACCAAATACTTTCAGGGAATCCATTTTTGCCGAAAAATGTGATCAAACTAGTCATTGTGGAACTACAATGCAATGGGAATTAATCTGTGCGAGTTGAAGAGAGCAGCTTGGAACAAAACAACGTGCATTTAATCGGCTATCCCGCCGGCCATTATCAACCACCTGAGTTGACCCAATCGAAAGGTTATTCATCCAGTGTGAACATAGCAGTGCATAGTGAGCACTCACTTTCAACTGTTCTCGACCAAATAGTGCTGCTACGGAGGAAAGATATGGTACTATATTCTGTGCACTTGAATCGTCGACAAGCTGCTCTGTCGTCTCAGGCCGCGCAGGATGATGTGCATCATTGAGCAGTGGTGTTAAACTTCCGGCAGTATTACGAACTGTTCTCAGGTACTCAGACAACTTATCAACCATGACCTTAGAAAATAACTTTCTGTGTCTCATCATAGTGCATTTTAATCCGGTGAATTTTATTGCGGAAAAAGTGCAATTTGGTTGAGAGAGTGCCTGCTCAGCGACTCAAACACACAGTTCATGGGGCGCGATCCGGTTGGAAATTATTTGGAAACATATTCGTGGGTGGTTTTTCGAGAGAGACATTAGTCCACTCGGTGAAATTTCAAATCTGGAGAAACCAGCCGGAAATTCGCGAAGCTCACGCACAGAACCACTGCATGGCATTTATTAGCGTGGCGATTGGGATCGGTTGTTCGTCTATATAATTCACGCACTTCCCTTATCAATTGCGAATTGTTTTCAAGTTCACTCACGCACGCGTCTACCACATCCAGGCAGATTTACCAAACGAAATATCTGGACCACACTCAACTTCCTTTGCGAACAATAGGGGACAAAATCGCCGAAATTTGGTGACCCGTATCGGGTGGGCGAAGAATTTCGTGCAGCCACGTTGTATGAATCTCATAATGACCACCCACTTTACGCCGGGTAAGACGACCAAAATCACTCTCCTCACATCACATTGGATTGCGACATCATGTCGTTTGTTCAGGTGAGATGCAATGTTAACTTTTTACGCAATAAAGACAACCATAGGCAGTGGATATTTAGTTCCATTCCCACAAATCAATATTAGCTCTACCAGACGCGCGCAATGACTTCACAACCACTGAGGAAGACGAATGACCTTCCACATCCTCGGAACCATCCACCGTGCCCTCCCATAAAATCATACATTCTTCCATTTTTCTACCTCGCGGCAGACCTTCACTGCTGCCCAGACGCGTATTTTTTCCAAATGTGTTTTTGGGGGGTGAGGTGTTTCTCTGGTTTGCATGGAGTATATGCTCGTCACAAACTGTGAATCGTCATCCGTGAATTGCACCCGCTGACCCAGGCAGAGTTTCCAAAATAGCGGCTACAGTGACAAAGGGTTGATTTCACGGTCGACCTGTCGATCCATAACTGGTTAAGTCAATCCGCGGGGATTTGGAGTACTTGCACAAATGTCCATCCGCTTCGTTCACTGATGAACATTGGCGAAGACAGGCTATCGCTAACCTTTGCCCGTTTGTTTCGTTTGCGCTTACGAATTATTGGGACTAGAGTTGTTAACACAATGTACTCGGAAAATGTGAATAAATGAATGACAAGCAGCCTACCAGGCACCACAACTAACCTACCGCTACTCACTACCACGCTAACCCGACCACGCACTTATGATATCACCTCGATTGGTGATGAAACGTTTGCAATCAAATGGCCCTGGTCTGCGAACAAGCCAGCGACCATGTACGCTACCAGAGCTACCAACATTTTCCTCTACGGACTACCAGAAATTCCTCAGCATATTACAAGCAGATCGGGACTATTCAAATAAAATACTCCGAAAGCATTTTTTTTCGGAACTCGATCCTGCCAGCGTCCGCTCACCGACAGTATGAGTAAGAGTGCTATATAAACCATTGATTACATGGCAACAGATTGACTCGCATGTTGAAGGCGCTAATTTGGATTACGACATGTTGTGTAACGAAAACGCATGAGTCAACTTTGAAATGAAAGCTACAATGCTGAGGAGATGGAGTATGGAGTTATTCTTAATTCGAATCTCGCACTGCTGTGCGGCAGTACTCTTTGTTCGTGCCTTACACAAGCAGAATGCAAGCAATAGTATCGTTTTGTGAATCGATGATGTCAGAATCATCCTGAAGATTTCCCATGAGTATATATTGCTCCTGATCATGTGGTCTACCTTGCATTGTGACCATTCTCAGGGCGACCCAATCTGGGATATCCAGAATTAAGCAGTTGCTGCAAGAAATCTTCGCAGATGAAGCACTTGTTGGCAATAAATGCGGCGAAAATCACTACAATTGCACCAGCCTGAGAAATTCTATTCCGTCCGGATGAGAGTTAGGCCCGTAATTAACGCGGATAACGAGAAATGACAGGATAACAATGAATGCCAATGTGACGACATTTGTCATATGGTGGGAACCACCTGTTTGCCGGCAAAGCACAGAAGTGTGCACATGGTGAAACACTGGTGCTAAAATGAGGAACCCCTGTAACCAATGTGCACGATTTCACTTTGGACGGCGGGTGAGAATGCATCGTTGCCGTAGAGATTGTGTGTATGTTGCCTCTGTTCTAGTTGCACATGCATCCACAAATTTAACTGCAACATTTGAGTTGAAAACAGTTCAAACTGGAAAGTATTTGTAATCTGTATTTGGGACAGCGTGAAATCATTCAGCGGCTTCCGATGTGATGCTTAACTATTTGAATTATTCTAGGTGGGCTTTACCGAATCAGTTTGGAAGAGAAGCCACGTAAAGTGACCGGTCATCCGGCTGACAAATACCCACCACCTGAGTTGACCCGATGGAAAATTACCTCACCCAATGTGAACACCTGAGTTATGCCATTTCTTCCGCTTCAGCATTAGGCGCATATTTGAGCGATGGAATGATACCGTGATAAATGTGGATGCCAAAACGCCCACATTTCGTGTGCAGACTTCATAATTACTTCGAAACAAATGAACGACTAGTAACCAAGAGGCACGAGTCGACTGCGAAAGGGATGCACAAATGTAGTATGCCTTAGGCGTTGTGTATGTTCTGAATCTTGTGTGGCCGTCGAGGTCCTATGCGTTTGTTTTCATATCTGCATTTTTGCCTTCTCTTGAATGACGTCTCCCTATCACACTTTTTCACTTCATTCATAAGTACACCTCGAAGACTGGATTGTTTCCATGTATTTGAACTAGGTCGATGAATTTCGTACGGAATAAACGACAGAGATTTTAAATCGTTCATTGTGGGAAGCAGTATTCATTCTGAACTATAAACGATGGTTAGTTGCGCGCCATTCAGCACACATTCCGCCAGAATCCAACTACTATAGCCTGGTTGCGACCGACTTTTACCTGATCCATGATTTTGTGACATTGTGTAAGGAAATATGGGATTGGGTGTATGGACCATTTTGTTTGGTCAGAACAGTCTTTCCAGCGTTTTGTGATCAGACCCAGCAGCAGTCATGTAACGTACAGGGACGCATGAATCGGCACTTCCAGAAAAAATCAAGTTTGACGAATGTGGTAAATAAACCAGCGCTTTGTCACAAAGCTTGTGCCTCACTTAATTCATCGCCGCACACGTTTTCCTGATGGACTCAAATTAGGGGGAAATAGTGACACCGAAGTATGTATGTGGGAACTGATGAGCATGGGCACATTCACGTGTTCGTGAAGGTGTAGCAAGTTCAAGTTTGTGAGAATCCCTTACACAAGCCCTCACTGTTCCGGTTTGTCTGTCTTGAGAAGACTGGGACATTTAGAGCCTGCAGTTTCTCATAGTCGAATATCCGATTTGTTGTTCTTTCTGTCCTTCATTATTCTCATTTTTCGCACTTGTTGATCCAGCTGGTAACCGGTTTTAATATGTGGGCTGAAATCTTCCATTAAACCCTCGGAATGTTGTGCCTGTTTTTTAAGATGGCGATAGGTGGCCATTTCTCCGCATACTTTAGATATAGGTTTATATTTTTGGTACATGGGGTGATACATTTCACAGAAAACAAACTACTCTTCGAAGCATGCAGGGGAATAGGAAACGCGGTCTTAGGTAGTCCGATTTGAAAAGTGACTGTGTGTGGCTGTCAATACACGTAGAATCATTAGCAAAGACAGCTTTGGATGGCTGAAATACCAAACCGACCAAAGATCTTTGAATCCATCTTGCGCAACTACCGTAGGACTAGCTTTTCACACAGAAGGATGGAAATTGCAGAGGACGTTCGACAGAGGGTAGCACGCGAATCGAACCAGGAGAACTAGACCTTGGGCAAGATCCATGTAGGTTCCCCTTTCAGCCCAACACTTGGGTCAGCCAGCATTACACAAAAAATCCCTCGGTCGACACGTAACAGAGATTTACCTGGGTCATACACTAGCCGCCTTATACCTCGATCAACCTCGTAACCTAGCCACGTGGCCTGTTGAAGCTTTCGTACAAAAGTGAAACGCCGCCAGCAATAAATCTGACGATTGTTACCTAATTATTCAGGGTACTAATCCGCCGGTTTTCGTCAACTTCGGGCCGTTATTTCCGTTGCCTTCAGTTCTCTACTCATGGTGTGATTTGAACGTCCTCCTTCTATTTATAATACGTTTTTGTACTTTTAGTGGGCTAGCCGGCTGAATGAGGGATATCGTTTCGGTAATGAAGGCAATTCGTTCGGGTTACGTTCTCAACGCTTTGTTCATCGGTTACGTTTCTGAGAAATCCCATGCTGTGCCGTCTAAATTGACAGATTTTCGTCATTGTTAACATTGTTTTTTACACATATAACAATGTGAAATCCCACGACAATGTGGTCCGTGAGGCCAACTGATTTTCTGTGGAAAGCGGATCCATTCATGAGCGGCGAGAACGTAGTGAACTGTGGAACAGAATGGATCAGAGCTTGGATTTGTTCCATAGACAGCTTTTTACCACTATTTTACCAGCGCACGTTGGACGCATCTGAATTCCCACGTCCGAAAGGGCGGACGGATTAACGCTTCAACGATGGGATTGGTATAGCCAACGCGTCATCGATCCGACGTCCCGGTAGTTTTCCTGGTTTTGACGATCGTCAGGCCCGCCTGCGCGGAATTTCCAATCAACTGGAGGCTGACATGTCAGGTGCTCGGATTTGAAACCCGGACATGGCAATAGGTGTGCACCGTTGATGAGCTATAATAAGGGAGAAACTCGAGCCATTGCTTCCCATCTCTCTGGTGTGGAATCGTCACAATAATTATGCCAGGGCAGCAGAACGACTTCAAAAGAAAGTGGTGTGAATTTGACCCTAAGGGAGTCATTGGTGGGGTATTAGAAAAGAGTTGAAAATGTCACCCATTGGATGTGAATTTTGGATACGTTGAGGTTGTCGATGCTGGC